ACTTTTACCTGGTGTCCACGCAAACTGACAGATTGTGTCTCCTTGACCTGATCATTCACGTAGTTTATTTCCTCTTCCTTTTTCTCTTTATTAAAAAAAAGTTTTCTGACCATCTTCAGGATACAATTTATGTCTCTATCCAAACTGCTGCTTGCCAAATTGCAATTTTCTCATCCCAAATATACACCTTGCCTTTTATTTGATTTTTATTTTCAGGACCACACCTGGCAATGTTCAGGGTTACTCCTATCTCTGAACTTAGGAATTACTTCTTGTGGTGCTTGGGGGACCATATGGGGTGCTGGGAATGAAACCTGGTTTAGCCACGTGCAAAGCAAAAACCCTACCCACTGTACTAACTCTCTGGCCCTGCACCTTGCCTTTTAATGGACTCCTGAAATTTAGGTTAACCATTATGACTTCTGTTCCCCCACTCCAACTCTCTGCTCCCATGATCTCCCATGATTAATTCTGTTTCTTTCCAAGGCTAACATCTACTACATAGTGAAGGTAGTATTTTGTATTTCAATGCATAGTCATTACCATTTTTTCAGTAAGAGAGGTACATTAAGCTTAATGGTTTTACCTTGTTTGGGCAAAAAATTGTCATAACTTGTCTACTGCCAGGAGTAATCCTTGAGAGCAGATCCAGGAGTAAGCTGTGACACTGTTGAATGTGTCCTTTAGACAAAAAGAGTTGTTATAAAATCTGTGACAATTATGCAGTGACATATGGTAGTGTAGATTAAAAACCAGCAAAAGTGAAGAGAGGGGAAAAAAATCAAACGTGAAACTCAGCATATTATTTTTTTTTTTTTGGCTTTTTTGAGTGACACCAGGCAATGCTCAGGGGTTACTCCTGGCTTTGCCCTCAGGAATTACTCCTGGCAGTGCTCAGGGAACCACATGGGATACCAGGAACCAACTGGGGTTGGCTGTGTGGAAGGTGAATGCCCTACTCACTGTACTATTGCTCCGCAACCCCCCCCCCCAGCATATCTTTACCTTTGTATCTTTGTTTACAAAATATGGGGATTGGACTTGGCAATATCAACAGCTATGTTAATAAGACTCTTCACCCCTACTCTTAGCTCCAGAGAGGGAAGAAAATTTCAGAATGGAGTTCATTGAAGCTAGCCTGGCAGAGTGAGTAAAGTCAGTCTTTTCTTTTGTGTGTGTGTGTGGGGGGGGGGGTACCAGAGACCATACTCAAGGCTTCACACAGATGAGGCAAGTATGAATTCTACCACTGAGATACACACTCAGCTTTCCCTAAGTCTATGACTGCTCTAATAGCTTATATTACTGATAAACTATAAATAATAAGATCCTTAGGAATCTTTTAGTGTATACATGTTGAGTATTTTTTTGAAATTAAGTCTCCTTGGTGAGCTTATTATAGGTACCTTACTATCATCTTTACTGTGTTGGATTCTCTGTTGCATACAGCTTTTCAGATATGCCTGCAGGATGGAAACAGGAATATATATTCTGGGCAATTAACAGGAGTCTTAAGCATATCTTCCAACATCTGGAAAATGCAAGGTAAGAAAATGTGGTTTCTGGATTGAGAATTAAAGGTGGTAAAGAGCGATTTTAAGAGGGTGAAAGGAAAAGAGTGTAGCGGGGGAGGAGAAAGAGAATGGGTTAGGGGAAAAGTTACTGGAGAGATAGTACTGTGGGTAGGGTGCTTGCCTTACAGTAGCCAATCAGGTTTGATCCCTGACACCACATATGATTCCCAGGAGTGATTCTGAGCATGGAACCAGGGATAAGTTCCTGAGCACTTCCAGGTGTAGCCTCCAAAAAAAAAAAAAAAAAAAAAAAAAACCAAAACCAAACAGGAAAAAGGGCTAGGGAGATGGAGAAAAAGTTATTTTTGTCAGTGGAGAAAAGTTCTTGCTTTAAAGAAAGTTTAAGAACCACTTGACCACTTGACTATGGATCATTTCTGGATCCAAGTACTTCTGGTTGAAATGGAAACAATTGCCTTCCCATTGAAATGAAAAGAATTTATTGGGGATGGGGGTAGCTACAGCCTGTGATCCCCAGGGCTTTGTCTTGCCTTTGTGTTAAGAGGTCATTCCTGGCATTGCTGGGATAGAGTAAGGGTGGCTGCTGTAAGGAAATACTTTAAACCCTTTCCTCCCAAAATGGGATGATTTTTAAATCTTCCTATAAATAATTAATATTGATAAAAGCAGACTTTTCTTTTTGTTGTTCTCTCACAGGCCAAAATATTTTGCATTGAAAATGGCCTTTATTTTTCCCTATCTTTTCTTATTTCAAAGAAAAATGGAACCTTTCTTTCTTTTCCTTTTAGATCAAGTCTAGTGAAATTATGTTTGCCTGAACAACAGGCTATGATTTCTTCCACCTCCTCTATTATTGTGACACAGGAGGCTCTTCTGCCCTTATGTGTCTGTAAGAAAGCAAAACGTACTCACCGAGATACCATGGGATCATCACACATCTCCAGCCTGTCTCAACTTTCTGTCATTTCTGAAGGAACGTCCTGGAAATTCCAGAGCCAGAGTTTACCTGTGTTGCGAAGAAAGCAAAAAAAGCGAACTTCCAGGGGTAGGAAACAACGATCATCCCTGTATTCTTTTTATTTCCCAGAAATTAGGAAGTCAAAATTTCTTCAGAATTTGGAAGTTCTTTCCCCTGATAAAATTCAAGGCATTTTAATCAACTCTATTACTGAATACCCAGAGATCTGCAGACAAAAGAAGAAAACAAAGCCTAAGAGAAAGGGCAAGAGAAATGTGACAGCAGATGATAGGCAGTATTCTACTTTTACAACGGCACCAAAAGCCCCAGAGTATGGTTCAGGCTGGTCTTGGTGGGAGTTAGAGAGACATATGGCTTGGAAGGTTTGGACTTTGAGGGAACAAACAGTGCCTTTACCTGTGAGAGAATCAAGAGTTTTGATGAATAACTTAACCGAGGCACAAGGAGGAGTCCCTGAACCAAAGAGACCCCAAATCCAGTTATCTATGTCCAAATATCAAAGTTCTGAGAAGAATATAAAAAATAAGTCCCCACACCTTCCATCATTTCTGTCCCATGTGAACACTGAAGAGGAATCTGGATTAAATAGAACAGAAACAAAAATTTTGCAGTCACTTATCCCAGGAAAGCAGTCACGACCTAAGGATGACTCCCAAATCCTTGGATACAGGTCCTCGGTTAAATCAATGAACATTCCACCTGCCAAACACTTAATAGTTGTTAGAAATCAAGAGGCAACCACTTTCTTGCAAAAGGATCCAAAACATGTGCTAGAGCTTAGCTTAGAGCAGAGGGTCATAGGCTTTCCAGAAAAGAGGACACAGCATCATAAAACCCAAGTGACCAAAGTGGAGTTGACCCCAAGACCACCATATCGGTTCAGAGATAACATAAAAGTAACCCCACTGGAATTGCTTCAAGTCATGGATTCAATGGGGATGATCCCAGAATCACATTCAGAAGTGATAGAATCTATGGGTTTCTTCCCACAATCACCAAATCAAGCTGTAAAACCAGTGGAAGCCATAAAAATAGCCAGCATAAAACACAAACTGTTTCAAGATACTGAATCAGTAGCGATAACATCAAAGCCTATATATCAAGGTATAGACTCAGAGAGAATATCAAGATCACCAAACCCTACAGACAATGTGAAGGTAACTCCTGTAGAATTGCTCCAAGTAATGGATTCTATGGGAATGATTGAAAAACCACATCCAAACAACATAGAAACCACAGTGACCCCAAGACCACAATATCAAGTCAGGGAGTCATTGAAAAAGGATACACAAATTGGTCATCAAATCAAGCAACCAGAAAAGAAGAGCTTAAAGCCACAACATCTGAGCACAAAAACTGTGGAAATGACCGCAAGGCAACAGAATAAAATTGAGTCAGAGGACCTGACATCAAGGCCACAAAATAAAGTCACAGAACCAAAGATTATTCCAGAGCCTTTTTGTCAAAATACAGAATCACGGGCAATGGTCTCAAGGTCATTGCCTCAAGTCACAAATTATGTGAAAATAACCCCAGTGGCACTTCTACAAACTATGGATTTCATGGGAATAATTCCAGCAGCACAGTCACATATTATAGAATTTAGAGATCTGACCTCAGATTCAGTATTTCCAACTTCAAAACTGACCCCAAGGACAACTCAATCAGATAGTTTAATTACTTCTAATTATGGTCCCAAGTTACCATCTAGAGATATAGAATCAATAGGGATGATTCCAATGTCATCATATCAATCTATGGATTCTCTAAAGGTAATTCCAGTAATACCTAAGGATATGATCACTATTCCACAATCACAAGATGTTGAAACTAAAGATTCTTCCCAAAAGCTAATATCTCAAGAAAAAATATCTCTGGATTTGACTTCTGGATCATGTATTCACGAACTGGGCTCTGAGGGAATAACTCCACCCTCTTATCATGAAGGCACAGATTCTATGGTATTAATCCCAAGGCCATCTCATGAAAATATGGAAACTTCAAGATTGACTTCAAGGCATAAAGTCCTAGAAGATTCAGAGGTGAACACGCCACGAAGTGATCAAGTTATAGAAACTATGGAATTGACCCCTGGTACATGTGTAAAGAGGAAGGAAACTATAGAGTTGACACCGTCACTTCATAAAGTAATGGAATCTTTAGGGACAATTCCAAAGCCACTGGGTCAAGGTACAGAACTTAAAGTAGTAAATCAAAAGCCACTGCACAAAGTCACAGAATCTGCAGCAAAGACTACTATGCTTCAGAATGAAAAGCCAGTACCAAATTATAATATTATAACATCTAGAAAGTTACCCCCAGAATTACAAAATTATGAAATTATAAAATCAATAGACATAACCACTGGTTCAACCCCACAAATAGTAAAATATGCACAGCATATCCCAACTGTGAACTCTATAGAACTGGCCCCAGAACTTCAACTGTCAAGCGTAAAATCTGCTGATCAGGCTCCTGTATCCCAGTCACAAACTGGGAAATCTATACAGTTAGCTCCAGAGTCTCAGCTGAAAGATGTGAAACCTACTCTACTGAGTCTAAGACCAGAACAGCAAACTATCAAATCTGCTGAGTTAGGCCCAGTACAACAGTTGCAAAGTAATAAACATATAGATCTGACTCCTAGTTCACAATTGAAAGGTGCAGAGCAACTTAATTTGTCCATACCACCAGTGCTTCCAGATATAAAAAGTACAGAATTGAGGAAAAGGTCATTACAGAGAGATACAAAACTGAAACTGATAGAATCAGTTCCAAAGCTAAGTTTACAAGATTTAAGATCTGAGAAGATGTTATCTCCAACACTAATGACTAAAGGTATGGAAATGCCCCAAGTGGCAGAATGTAGGAGACTCATTTCTGAGACACAGAAACAAGGTAAGAAATATGAGGAACTGGACCCAGGGGGACGTGTTCAAGCAGTGAAATCTATAGAGCTGAAGTCCAGTAACACAGATCCTGAAGGATTGACTTCAGGGCATCAAACTTTAGAATCTTTAGAAATGATCTCAGAGCCAGAATATCAAGACACAAAAACAAAACTGAACTTTGACACTTGTCACCAGACAAAAGAATCTGTGGGATCGATACAATCATCTTCAAGAGATACTCCAGGGCCATTGAGTCAAGCTTCAGAATCTATTCAAGTGAACTCAGAGTCATTACAAAGTACTCCTAACACACTACAAAGCATGCAATTCATGAGGGATAAGCCAGTGTCACAATATACAATACGAAGAACTCCGAAGTTGGTGCCAATATCAGAGATGCAAGATGCAGAATCAGAGGTGTTGATCCCAGAGCCCCAAGGTATGCAGTTTGTTCACCCAAATCTAGGACCATATCCAGAAGCGATAAACTATGAGGAGCTGGCCTCAGAACCACAGCTTCGAAGTGTGAAATCCATGCCATCGATTTCAAAGCTACAATCTAAAAGTATAAAACCTGAGGACCTTAGTTTAGGGTCATTTAAGGATGACAAAGCATTTGTGGATTTAACTGCACCACTGGAAGAATCTAGGAGGTTAATTCCTGGGAAAGAATTACTAAACAATGAATTAAGGAAACTGACCATGGAACCGCAGTTAGAAACAATAAGTTCTGTGGGCCTTACCCGCAGACTAAGGCATCAAAAAACAGCACCTGCAGAATTATCTCCTGAGATTTGGCCACAAAAGGAGGAATCAGTGATCTCACAGAAAGTCACAGAAACTGCTGGGTTGTTCCCAAGATCACATTGTCAATTTTTTTCAGAGCCAACTACAGAGTCAGGCAATAAAGAGACAGAAATCATGAGGCAGACTTCTGAGGCATTAATACAAAAACCAGCAGATCAAGTTATAGAATCTACAAAAATAATTCCAGGGCCACATCTTCAAGGTACTGAATCGTCAGATACACACCTAGAATTAGAATGTGAAAACACAGAATCGATAGAGTTGGTATCATTTACAGTTGAAAACACTCAGAAGACACTACCAATACGATATTCAGAAAAAGAATTGTTAAAACAAGAAATGCAATATGAAAACTCAGAACCACTAGCTCAAGATTTTGAATTTACGAATTTAGCCTATAAGACAAATTCATTAGTGGTAGGATCTACACAGTGTATTATGGGGCCACAATCACATATTATGGAGTTGACCTCAGGACCACAGCTCCAGGGAGTAAAGTCTAGACAGTTGGATCCAGAGGCACAATTACAAGGTGTGAAATGTGTTAATTTAGTCCAACAGCCAGATTCCAGCGTGGTTGACTCTGAGAAAGTGATACAAAAGCCTACACTGCAAAATATGACAGAAGAATTAAGTAGGAGGGCACAGCATCAAGGCATGAAACTGACTCAAGGGCCTTCACTGAAAACTGTCAGATTTTCGATGTTATCTCCAAGTCCCTTCCTCCAAGAAGAAAAACCTGCAGATTTAATTTCTGGGCCCCCTTATCATAATGTGCAATCTGATGAATTGACCCTAGGTTATCCAACTCAAGATATCAAAGTCTTTATCCCAGAGCAAGGGTATCAAAGTGTTACAACTGCACAGCAGACTTCAGAACCACATCATCAAGATAGGAACTTTAATGAAATAAGCTCAGGGCCATGCTTACAAAATGTCAGGTTTTTTGATTTGACCCCTGAACCAAAGCATGAAAACATTAAAAACACACCTTTTTTAACAGAGACACAGTTTCAAGTTACTGACTCTATAGGATTTGTAACAGAGGCCCCTTTTCAGTTAAACCAAGAAATCCCAGTTGGAGATCTGAAATCTAGTAGATCTACTGAAAGATCACCATCTCACAGCACAACATCTATTAAGTTGATCTCAGAACTACAAGGTGTGAAATCTGAGGACAAATACTTAAGACCAAGGCAGGAAGATGTTAAATTTTCTGAATTGACTTCAGGACCAAAACTTCAAGGTGTCAAATTTAGGGAAGAAACCCAAGGATCAGTGTTTCATGATGTAAACCCTATGGAGGTGACTACAGAGTTTGGATGTCAAGATTCTAAATTAGTGAAGACACTTCCTGGGCTTCAAGTTAAGAAACAAGCAGGATTGAACACAAGGCCATGGCTACAAGATGTCAAATTCTGTGATACAACATCTGGAACTCAACCTCAAGTTACAAAACCTTCAGCATTTAACTTAAGACCACAACTACAATGCGTGAAATTTTTAACATCAACCTCAGAACCAAAAGCACAAGGAGTAAGATCTATAAAGTTGGCCTCGGGATCTGAGCAACAAGAAGTTAGGCCTGAGATGTTAGTATCAGAGCCACCATTCCAAGATGTAAAACATATAGAAGACCAAACATCAAGTTTAAAAAGTAATATTTCTTATGAGTTAGCCTCAGAGGAACCAACATCAGATGTAGAATCTGTGGAGTTGACTCCTGTCCTCCAGGAGTCACCAAATGATTATGAGTTGATAAGATCACTATTACAAGAGCTTAAACCATCTGAGTTGATTCAAGGAGCACAACTATCAGATGTAAATTCTATAGAGTGGATACCAATCTCAGGACTTCAAGATTTAAAGCCTGAAATGACCACAGAATCACAGACAGGAAATGAAAAATCTGCGGCTGTAACTCTAAGACAGTACCTACGAGGTATAAAATCTTTGATGTCACACCAAGGCTCACAGTTAGAAAGTAAATCTGCAGAGACCATCTCAAGACCACAGAGAGATGTTCAATCTGTGAAAGTCACACCAGATTCCAAGCTTCAATGTGTGAAATCTAATGAGAGAGCAAATCTAGATTCAAAGACTCAGGAATATAAAACTCTGGAGTTGGCCCCATGTATACAACTACAAGATACGAAAACTATGGAACAAGATATGAAAGCCCTAGAACCAAAACTTGGGCTAAAGATGCAGGGTCAGGATTCTGTGCCTTTTGCACCAGTGCAGTTGTTCCAAGGACCTCAATTGAAAGTTGGGAAACTTGGTAAATTGACTTCAGAGCCACAAATTCCAGAAATGAAATCTGTGGCTATTGCTTCACATGTAAATCCTCAACGAGAAAAATCTATATTGGAAACTAGTCCAGATTCAGTGGTGCAATCAAATTCAGGGCCAAAATCTGTGAAGTTGACCTCAAAACAAAAGAAGCAGGAGACAGTCGGAAAACAAATTCTTCCAGGAATAAAATACATGGATTTACCCCCAATGCAACAGTTTCAAGAGAAGGCACCTGTGAATATAAGTCCTGGGACAGAACAGGATGTTGAGTTATCTGCAGTCTCGCCAGTGCATCAACATGAGCATTCAGAACAAATGAAGAGAAGTTCTAAACCAAAAGATAATAAGTGTCTGACTTTAATTCGTCAGCCAACAATTAAAGGCAGAGAATTAGTAAGCCAGAACTGGCAGTTGCAAGATAAAAAATTCTTTGAGCCTACTCCAGAATTAAATACTGAATGTGTAAAACCTAAAGAGGTCAAATTTGAACCACAGTTGCAAAGCCTAAAACCTCCCAAGTTGACTCAAGGACAACAGTTGCTCCAAGTGAAACAGTTGGAGCCCTCTTCAGAGTCACCACCACCTCAAAGTGGGGTAATACTCGAATTTAAAAAAGATCCACAGCTTGAAAATCTGAAATGCATTCAGTGGCTACCACAACCTGAATTTCAGGGGGGGGATTCTGTAGGGTTAAATCTTAAATCACCATCTCAAGATATTGAATCTGCAGAATCAAAACCTTTGATATGGTTAAGGGATGTGAAACCAACTAAGTTATCTCTGGGGTCAAAAAGTCAAGATATAACATATATGGGGCCACAGTTTCAGAGAGTCAAAATACCTGAGTTGTCCTCTGGACAACAGTTACAAGAAAGGAGACTTTTGGTGTCATTCTCAGAACCACCACTTCAAGGTGTGAAAAATGTGGAGTTACACCCAGAGATACAGATGAGAAGCATGGAATCTACTAAGTGGATTCCTTTACCAGGGTTTCAAGAGATGAGATCTCTGCTAAACTTTGAGTCACAACCTCAGAGTATCAAACCTACAGAATTGGAACATTTGATACAATTAAGAAATAAGAAGTCATCTCTGCTAAGTCCAAGACCAAAGCTCCAAGGTATACATCATTCTGCATCATTCCTGGAAAAACCTTGTCGAAAGCTGAGGAGTACACAATCATGTGATCTAATGTCACAGTCAAAGCCTCATGACATAAAATCCATCTTGTTCCAACCTAGGTTTCCATTGGAAGATGGGAAATTTCTTGAGTTGATTGTAAAACCACATCTTCAAGAAGTGAAACCCTTACAGTTCTACCCAGGAACACAGCCTCAAGTTGTGAAGACCCCAGTGCATCTACAAAGTGATAAAGCTATAAAGTCAAACACCCCACTATACTTTAAAAGTATAACGTCATCTAAGTCAACTCTTCAGAAAAAGCTTGAAAGTGTGAAATCTGAGGTCAGTTCTGAACCAGAGTGGCAATGTCTACAAACTTCCAAGATGCCACTTGAGACAGAAGGCCAAGATAAGAAATGTACTGAGTTAAAACTCAGCTCACAGTTGCAAGACACACCATTTTCTAAAGTGGCCACAGGGATCAAGAGTCCAGTTGTCAAATCTACAGATTTAAATATTGGGTTATTGTTACAAAGTGTGAAAACTTCTGTAGGGACTTCAAGTGCAAACTTTCAAGATGTAAAACATAAAGAATGTAAACCCTATATACAATGTCAAGTTATGGAATCCTCTGAGCTGATTCCAGGACCAAAACTTCAAAATGTGAAATCAGTACTCAATCCTGAAGTACAAGAACAAGGACTGAAATCTTCTAAATTAATCTCAGACATGAAGTTTCAAGATGCAAAATCAGGAAAGTTCCAATCTGGGCCACAGTTTCAAGATAAGACAGTGGAGCCAACGTTTCAAAAAATGAAGTCAGTGGATTGTAAGTCAGGCCCAGAGTTGCAAGATATGAGCTTTTCAAGGTTGATTACAGGAATAAAGATTCATGATGTAAAATCTAAAAAGTGTACAGCTGACCCACAAGTGAAGGTTGTGAAATCTTCTGAAGTTGTCCCAAGGGAAAAGTGTCAGCGTGTGAAGTCTTTTGAAATTATCCCAAGTGGAACACTTCAAGGTGTGAAATCTTTAGAACTGAATCCTAGTCCAAAATTACAAGACGAGAAGTCTTCTGAGTTTTCCCATGGGAAGAAGTTTCCAGGTGTGGAATCTGTAGGGTCATACTCAGGCCCACAATTCGAAGAAAGGAAGTGCTCTGACCTTATCATGGATATAAAACTTAAAAATGTAAAATCTACAGACTTGAGTTCTATACCACGATTTCAAGGTATGAAATCATCTGCAGTGATCCCAGGAACAAAGACTCAAGCAGAGAAATCTATGCTCAACTCTGGAGTACAAGTACAAAGTAAAAGATTTTACCCACCGATGAAACTTCAAAGTAAGAATTCCACAGAAGTAAACCATAACCCAGAATTTCAGGCTGAAAAATCCACTAAATTTTCCTTGGGACCAAGGATTCACAGCATGATATCTTCTGAAGTCAGTGCTGAAAAGCAGGGACAAGTTAAGAAATCTTCTCAATTGAATCCATGGCCAGAATTGCAAGGTGTAAAATTTATGACAATCAGTAGAGAGCCACAATTGCAACATATAAAATCTTCTAAGTTATGCAAAGAAACAATACATCAAGATAAGAAATTTATAAAATTAAATCCTGAGCAGCAGTTCCAAACTGGGATATATTATGAACTACTCTTGGGACCAAAGTATGGAAAGGAGAGATTTTCAGAATTAAATCCTGGGCCTTATACAAAAAATGAGTTGTACATACAGTCAAAGCATTCAGATGAGCAATTTCAAGAGCAGAAACATGAGACAAAATGTCAAGGTGAAAAATCCTCTGAAGTGAACTCAGAGTCACAGTTCCAGGGTATAAATGTTTTGGCATACAACATAGCGCCACTGCCACAAGGTGTAAAATCTAAGCTGTCTCCTAGGCCATACCATCAAGATATAAAATCTAAAATGTCCTTCCCAGGATCACATATGCAAGCTAAAAATTCTTCTACACCAATTCCAGAACCAAAACATCAGTGCGTAAATACTATTGAATGCAATACTGGGCCAAACAAACAATGTCTTAATGCTTCTGAAACAACTCCAAATATGGAAATGCAAGGTAACAAGTCTCCTAAGTTGAATCCAAGGACAGAGAGAAATTTGTGTCAAAGTGAGACGTCTACGGTGCTTGGTCCCGGGCCACATTTTCCAGTTTGGAAATCCCAATTAATTACAGAGTCAAAGCCTTTAAGTGTAATACCCAGAAAATGCAACCTTGGGCCACAGATGCAGTGTAATTCTCCTGAGTTGAACCCAAGACCAAAATCACAAGGTGTAAATTCTATGAGATGGAAGCAACAGGTACCCTTACAAGATATAAAATCTTTTGAGTTAACATTAGGAACAAAACTTCAAGATACAGGATGTGAAGTTAATCCGGGGATAGAGATTCAAAGCGAGAAATACATCCTGTCTGATCCTGGATCACATTTGCAAGGTCTAAAATGTCAGCTGATTCCAGACTCAAAGCCTCTAGGTAGAGTACCCACGAAATGTACCCCTGGGCCACAGAGACGGTGTGTTAATTCTCCTGAGTTGCTCCCAGGGACAAAATTACAGTGTACAAATTCTACCGGATGCAGACATGGACCACCCTCACAAAGTATAAAATGTCCTGAGTTAACTTCAGGGATAAAGTTACAAGATACAGGGTTTAAAGTGAATCCAGGGACAGAGACCGGAAGTGAGACGCCTGTGGTATTTCATACTGAACCACATTTACAAGATCTAAAGTCTGAATGTATTTCAAACTCAAACTGTTTGCCAGGAGCAACCAGTGGCTACAACCTTGAGCCACAGGTGCAACATGCAGATTTTTCTAAACTGAATGCAGAGCCAAAAGTACACTGTGAAAATTATACAGGGTGCAAATATGGGCCACCCTTTCAAAGTATGAATTTTTTTCAGTTGGCTTCAGGGACAAAGTATAAAGATATGACATCCTCTGGTTTGAGTCCCGAATCAGAATGTCAAGGTACAGAATCTTCTTTATTAAACCCTCTACAAAACTTGCTTGATATAAAAAGTAAACTGACTCCAGGGACAAATTTTCAAGTATTAATGGAGTCCAACTCCAGATCACAACTTCAAGGTATGAATTCTTGTAATTCTAACTCAGAGTCAGAATATCAGTCCATAAATTCCGTTAACTTTAATGCAAGACCACAGATGCAAGACCCCAAATCCTATGATTTGAACCCTGGGCCAGAATTTCAAGGTACAACATCTATTTTGCTTAATTCTGGCCCACATTTGCAAGATGTAAAAATTTCTGAACTAACTCCATGTACAAACTTTCCAGATCTACTTTTGAAGAACCACCTTGGGTCACAACAGCAAGTTACACAATTTGTGCCCACAACCGACCCTCAGTTAAATGCTGTCAATTTTGGGGCATTTCTACCTGAGTCATCACTTGAAGATGAAATGTCTGTGAGGATGAAAAAGGAGGCATTGTACTGTGGTGCAAATTCTGTGAAACTGGTTTCTGATCCTAAGAAGCAGGACAAGAAATGTGAGGTGTCTTCATTAGAGCCATGTTTTCAAAAAGTGGAATCTGTGGAGTTAAATCCACGACCACATTCTCAAGGTATAAATTCTGCGGAATTATTGTCCGCATTCAGGCAGCATAGTGTGAGGCCTGTGGCACCTGTGCTAGAGGGGAGTTCTTATGTGAAAGCTCCGGAATTGAAAGCAAGGCCACAACCTAAAGATTTCAATTCTAAGAATTACTGCCTCATGCAGAAGTCTACAGCATTGGGATCAGAGCCATGTTCTCAAGATGCAAAATCTCTAGAGTCAAACCTACAGTCACAGCTTCAAAGGTCTTTAGGGTTGTCGTCATGCCTCTGGTCACAGTGTGTTAAATCTGACATCTTTGTACCAGAACCATGTTTTCAAGATGTAAAATCTGTACAGTTGACGCCAGAGGCCCAACAGCAAGGTATGAATTGTCAAGAGTTTACTGCAGGCCAACAAGGTGTGAAATCAATGGTATTGCCACAAGAACCAAGTGAGAAGCTCACACCAGCACCAATTTTAGCTAGTGTCAAAATTTCAAATTTGTCTCCAGAATCACAGCAACAAGATATGACATCTTTGGAACTTACTTCACATCCAAAGTTACAAGATATTAAACATACAAAATTTCCTTTAGGGTTTCTGCAGCAAACTCCAAAATCTAAGGCCTTAGCAACAGGGCCACAGCTCCAAAGAGTGAGATTTGAGAATCTAACTCCAAGAATGAGTGATCAGACGACAGACTTCTCTGAGTTAAGCTCTAGGCCAGTGCATCAATTTGTAGAATATGCAGAGATGAGCCCAAAGCCACAGCATCAAATTCCCCAATCTGTGAATTTGATTCCATCAATGTACCAAGTCACAGAATCGTCAGAAATAGCGCAAAGGTTGGCACATCAAAATTCAAAAACTGTAAAGAAATCTGGGGGGCTGACCCCAAAGCCCATAGGTAAAGTCACGGAATCTTCAGGGATGCCTCCGGAAACAGATCTTCATGAGCCAGAATTTGCAGACCTGACTTCAATGTTAAGAGATCAATGTTCACAATCTTTAGAATTAACCCCAGAGAAAAGCCATCAAAGTTCAGAAAGTCCGGGTTTAATCCCTCAGTTATGGCCTAAAGTTAAGAAATTAGAAGAGTTACATATAAAGCAACTGAAACAAGATGTGGAACCTAAAGAGATTATTCCACAGCTCAAGCACTGCCTTACAGAATCTATAAAGTTCATTCTTAAAGCAAGATCACAAAGGGAGGGATTCTCTGGGATGATGAGGGAGCCACAGTCAGTAAGTGAAGCCACTGGCCATGCAAACCAATCTCCGACCCCCTGTTCTCAAGCTGTAGAGATAATTCCTGAGAAAAGACCATATGGGCAAGAACATATAGCTCTGGTCACAAAATCAACATCTTCTGTCACAGAATCTTCAGAGATGACACAAGATGAAAACGTAGAGTTCACTCCTGAGACAGGGCCACAGGTGGAGAGATCTATAAAACTGACGGGAATACCACAGCAAAAAGTGGAATATTCAAGATTAGGACATCAAGTGCCAGGATCTGTGTATTTAACCTCTAAGCAATGTAGTCAAGGGGAGGAATCTTTAGAGTTGCCGCCAAAAGAAGCAGGGCAATGTGAGAGACATGGACAATATGGAAAGGAAACTTCTGAGACATGGCAGCAAGAGGAGAGATCAAAGTGGCTAACACAGTCAGAGAAGGGAAATATGAACTACTCAGAAATAGCCCCAGAAGAGCTAGGTGAAATTATAAAAATTAATAGGATTAGTCCCAAACCACTAGATCAAATCAATCAACCTACAAAGTCACAACTTCAAGTTGCTCGATCAACAGGGGTAACCCCAGTAGCCACCTCCAAACTTAAATCTGTAAAAGGGACCCCTGGACCACCAGTTCAAGTTGGGAAGTTTGTGATTTTACCACCAGGGTCATTTTCTCAAAAGGCAGATTATATTGAATCTATTTCACAACCGCAGGATATGAAATCATCAGAGTTTATCTCAGGTATATGGCTGCAAAATAAGAAACCGAAGAAATTAATTCCAGAGCCAACACATCAAATTTTGGAAACAATTGAGATGACAGGGTTTCAAATCATAAAGACTGTGTTATTCCCAGGACCATCATTTCAAATAGTAAAATCTGAAAAATTAGCACCAGGACCAATTCCTCAGGTTGCAGAACCAATAGGAATAGCTCTGAGTTTGGGACCTAAAGAAAGGCCTTGTTTTGATTTTCTCACAATGAAACATTTCCAAGAACTAGCAGAACCTGTAGAATTAACTCCAAGGTCAAATACTGAAGTAAAATCTACAGAATTTGCTACAAAGACAGCATCTCCATTCATGGAACCGAAAGGGTTAACTCATGAAAAAAAGCTTCAGACCTTGAAACCTAGAAGTGAAAAAGCAGGGCCTTCTACAGTCACGGAATCTGAGGATTTGATTCGAGAACAGTTGTGCCTGAATAGGGAATCTGAGGAGTTACTATCATTGGGAGAAGTAGAAGAGAAATATTTCCCAAAGTTTCTATGCAGCTCTTCAAATTCACTCACCTCAAGCACTGTCAAAACATCATCTGAATTAGGATGCCTTTGGGATACTGAAATGCCGGAAGTATTGAGAAGTTTGGAAACAAAAAATCTCGACTCTATTAGGGGACCACTTTCAACCCATCCCCTGGCTATTCAGAATCAGCCGCTTCTTAACATAGTTAACATTGCAAAAAATACACATTGTGAAGACCTAGGAAAGGATATGGGAGCCGAGGTGAGGACTCTGAGGGAGCAAGCGGAAGAGCCGAAGAACTCATCCAAGAGCCTCTCCCAACGTTTTCCAAAAGGCTGGAGATCACCAGGTAGGGCCTTCCAGAAAAGACCAGGTGCTCGAAGAAGCCTTCCCTGTTCTGTTTTGCACAGACAACAGAATGTCTGGGAGAGTCACTCCTGGAGGCAGCGACTACCTAGAAAATATCTCTCCAATATGCTAATGCTAGGAAATGTATTACAAACCAATGTGGAAAGGAAACTTTATTCTCAATCACAATTGACAGAAAGAGCAGATACTCATCAATCTGTTGAAAATGTATTTGGGATTCCACCTGAGCTGATGGAATTTTCCCAGAGTCTACCAGAGAAGGGTCAAAGTGCAATTTCTCAACCCTCAGTGGGTAAAAACTACATTCAAAGAAATACTTTATTCCATGGTACTGAGAAAAGAATGACCCTAAGGATGTGGACACGCCAATCTATGTCCTCCATTATACAGCAATACTCTGGAGCTAGAATAAGAATAAATAAAATAAGAAATATTAGTTATATATCCCAGGAATTCATTCATCACATGACTGGCTCATATAACACAGAGGCTCAGCTTCCTGTCCCTCTCAATACAAGTTTGGCTAAGGATTCTGTTCCAGTAGAAGAGAGTGAGAACTCACAGAGCGAGTTTCAACACTCCCACAGGCCAAATTATACTTCCCAGGACAAGACTATCTTCTCTGAACAGTCAAATTTGCTACAAGAGCTACAGCTGAAAGTAGCAGCAAAACTATTAAGGAGTCAAGTACCTCCCAATGTTCCTCCACCTCTAACTTCAGGTCTGGTCTTAAAATACCCTATCTGTTTAAAGTGTGGCCGATGTTCAGGATTTAATTGCGGTCATAAACTACAGGCCTCTTTTGGGCCTTACCTACTTATTTATCCACAGATCCACCTTGTAAGGACTCCTGAGGGCCGTGGAGAGATTAGGTTACATCTTGGCTTTAGGTTACGAACTGGGAAGAGGCCCCAAGTCCCAAAGTATCAAAGAAGAGACAGACCTGGTACACCAAAGAGCCCTGTATCTTCACCACTAAAGAAAACTAACATTTATACTCAAGTTTCCAGGAGTCCAACTTCAACATTAGATTTAGAATCTGGGTCTTCTCAGTCCCCTTTACAAGACCACACGAGGCAGAGGTCAGACAGTAGTTGTGACTTAGTAGGAAAGACAGATATTGGAGAGTTTAGCCACTATGACGTCACTCAAGTTCAACGTCTACCAGACACCGACTCTGAAAGCAACCAGGATGAAAACTGGGCAATAGTGAGAAGAAGTAAGTCAAAATATTTAAAGAGAATGACCAAAGGAGATACAACACCAAGCACAAAGTTCTACACAAAAGGCAGAGAGTCCCGTAGGGAATTACCCACACAGTTAAAAAGGAAGAAGAGTAGAGTGTCTCGGACCACGACTGACCTTTTAGAAAGACAACCTAAGAAACCCAGCCAACCCAAACTCATTCAACTACTTTCTCAGTGCATAAAACAGGCATTCCAAAAAGCATACAACATTATGACTTTTGCTGCAGAGAAGTCTGAGGACGGAAGAAGGTCAGATGATAAGAGCGTGGGCAAAGGCTACCAGCCAAAGCGAAAAGGTGAAGGCCTATCAAGAGACAAGATGTCAGTTGTCAAGCCAAATCCAAGAGGCTCCATCACTAAACAAAAATGCCCTTCGTGGGATAGAACAGATCAGTTTGTATCATCTCAACAACCAAAAAGAGCTCAGTCTTTCCAACCCAAGCTTACCCACCTATCCAAGCCCAGAGTCCCCCAAAGAAGTCCTACACGTCACACTAGAAGAATGAGAAGCCATCAGAGTGTGGTTCAAAATGACAGTGGCACCAAAGGTAGGAAAAACTACAAAAACGAAACATCTAGTTATGAGTCCAAGAATTCCGAAACAGGAAACACAGTTCAGGCCAGAGGAAGAGTGGTACGTGATTCCTCTATGAAAGGAACCTCATCCATTCAGCCTAAAGTAAAATACATACAGTCAAAGAATCCATATCATTCCTTTGGGAGGACCCAGTACAGTGCCTCTGAGAAAAGTCATCTTGGTCCATCTCAGAGAAGTTGCAGTCTCTCTGAGAGGAGCCATGGCAGCAACTTTGAGAAGAGCCATCCAGGTCGCCCTCCCAGGAACCATCTGGGTCCCTCTCAGAGGAGTCATCCAAGTCCCTCTGAGAGGAAATGTCGCAGTCCTTCTGAGAGAAGGTGTCGAAGTTCTTCTGAGAGGAGATTCCACAGCCTCTCTGGGAGAGGTCATCCACATCCCTCTGAGAGGAAATGCCACAGACCCTCTGACAAGATCCATCACACTCCCTTGGAGAAAACTCTTCTTACTCCTGAGAAGAACCATCACAGTTCCTCTGACAGGAACCACCGTGATCCGTCAGAGAAAACCCATCCTACTCCTTCTGAGAAGAGCCACCCCAGTCCCTCAGAGAAACACCAGTCTAGGCCTTCTGGGAGGAACCAAGGCAGCCCTTCTCAGAGAATCCACCCCAGGATCCATCTCCGTCATGACTGGCCCCCTGAAAGGAGTCAGCGAACTCTTGAGAGGAGAGCGCCCAGCCGCTCTGAGAGCGAGCACAGTCCCCCGAAGGAGGATCTCAAGCACGGTTCGCTTGGAGAGAGGCCCAGGCACACTGTCGTAGAAGACACCAAGAGCTACCCAGAAATGCCTCCTCGGGGCCGCCCCCAGGACCCCCCAAACAAGGCACACTTGGAGGCCAGAAGCTAGCTGGGCCCGGAGGAGTCCCGGACCCTTCAAGTCTTCCCTGAGCTGCCCTTTCCCGGCTGCTTATCCCGCTCCACCGCCTCCCATTTGCGGGTCACTCCCCTGGGGGTGGGGTGGGGGGCGCGGGCAGGGGCCTTGTCAGTTGTGCGATGAATAAAGGGGCAAAACTTCCTCTCCGTGTGCCGAGCAGAGACCCCTGGGGCGGGGGGGCGCGGGGCGAACGGGCGGGAGGGCGACGGGTCGGGGCGATGGGGGGCGGGAAATGCTCGCGGCCCGGCGCTCCCGGGCTCCCTCCGCGCCGTCGCGCCCCCGAGCAGGGGCGTGTCACGTGACGCGCCCCCGGCGGCCGCGGCCGGGCGGAAGTGGGCGTTCGGCGGCGGGGCCCGGGGCGCCGACTCGGCATCCGGGCGCCGGGCGCGAGCGGAAGTGGCGTGGGCTGGCCGGAGCCCGCGGGGCCGGCGTCGCGGGTCGGCGTGGAGCGGGAGTGATGTCCGCCCGGCTCGCGGCTGCACCCGCCGTGAGTGTTCGCCCGGGGGCCGGGACGCCGGCGCCGGGCTGGGGGGCGCGCGGACCCTCGCGGCGCTCGCCGGCTCTGGGGGAGGGGGGATCGGCCGGAGCCCCTCGTTAGGCCCCGCGTCGTGCAGGTCAGCTCGGCCCGGACCCCCGCCCCCTCGGGCCGACCCCTTTTCTGGCTGCCCATCCCCCCCGCCCGGGCAGATCGTCTCCGGAGCCCCCCGCCGGGGACCGGCCCCGGGACCGGAGCTGGGGAGGTGCAGGCTGAGGTGTGGCCCCCGCCTCCTGGCCCCTGGGGAGGGGACGGTGGGGCGCACCCCTCCCGTCCCCCTCTCCCCCCCCCCCCCCCCGTTTTCCTAGAAAGGCTCCTCCTGCGGGTGCGTGCGGTCCCCGCCCGCGGCCGGGTGGCCCGGGTGGGCAGGGCTGGCTGGCGGGCGTTCATTCCTGTGCTTGCCGTTTGCTAGAGCCCGGGAGCCACCTCCTGGAAGCCGCCGCGGAGCGCCAGGAGCGGGCGAGCCAAGAAGTAAGTGAGGTTCCTTCCCCAGGACCCTCTCCTGGTCACCCTTGGCCCGCGCTGGCGTCCTGTCGCCCAGCTGCAGGGTCCCCCGCGCCCTTCGAGCCCTTGCGGTGGGGCTGGGCGACTTGCGGAACCCAAATTGAAACCTGTGGTCAAGTTTCAGCTCTGCCAGGAGCTCAGTGGCTCCCCGGGGCTGGACCAGGCGGGTCTTGAACTAGGAGGAAGGAGAAAAATCGAGGTGGCTGATGAGAAGTTCCAGGCATCGTGCAAACGAGACAGACTGGGGATGGTTCTGGGTAGTTCAGCATCTCTCCAGACACCCGGTACCCATGTATAAATTAAGGGACTCACACTGGTTTAGACATGGCTGGAATAAATCCTTGGAATTTTTGAGCCAGTGGCCCTCAAGATAGGTTTATTATTTTGCATTCTGCAGGCGCTGAGCTCTTTCATATTGGTACAAAGAAGAGTCTTGTAGATTGAATGCTCTTCAGGAAGAATAATCCAGATAATATTGTTTATCTGTTCTGTGTGGTCAGTTATAAATAGATGGCAGGAAAAAAAATACAGAACTAGCAGTCTAAAAGGGAACGGAGGCAAGTTGATCAACTTGATACAGTAATTAAACTTTTTTTTTTCTTTTTGGGTCACACCCAGCGATGCTTGGGAGTTACTCCTGGTTCTGCACCCGGAGTGGACCGAATGGGATGCCGGGTGTGGAACCTGGGTCGGCCATGTGCAAGGCTAATGCCCTACCTGCTGTACTATGGATGCAGCTCAATAATTAAACATTTTAAGGAGAAAATGAGGATACAGCCTTTGGAGACGGGGAGTGATGGATAGGCTTGAAGCTCTTAAACAAACTTGAAAGGCCAGGAATGATGGAGTTAGGCGCAGGGAAGAGTTTGGTTTATTTTTCAGAAGAGAAATCACTTGACTAGGTAAGACATTGAGGTAGTGGGTAATAAAGACTTGAAGGGTGAGGTGATTGAAATTATAATCTCTGAAATCATAATTATCCACCCATATTATCTTATTTTTCCTTTGGAGAACCTGGCAGGCTACCAAAAGTATCCTGCCTGCACGGCAGAGTCTAGCAAACTTCCCGTGTCATACCCAATATGGCAAATACCAGTAACAATGATGGGTCTCATTCTCCAAATCCTGAAAGAGCATTGAAATGGCTCTTTTAAAATCTCAGAACTAGGAAGAAGGAGACGTTACTGGTGCCTGCTCAAGGAAATCGACTAACAACAGGATGATCGTGATCCTGTGAAATCATAATCTCTGGAGTGGGAGTCACAGAATCTTTATTTGATGGAAGCAGAGCCAGGGAGGGCGCTTGCCTTGTAAGTGGCCAATCCTGGTTAGATCATGACACCTGACACGATTTGCTGAGCTCTCCAGGAGTAATCCCTCAGTGCCACAGGGGCGTGGCACAAAAAAACAAAAGAATATTTGAAGCTGGCTAAGATTGAGAACCAGTGGTTAGAAGTGAAACTGCAAGAACAGAGGATGAAACCCTGGAGAGTCTTCACATTTCAGATTGGGCTGCAGAGAATGGAAGAGGTACTTTCCGATTCCAGTGAAATCCAAGTATTTGCACCTAGAAGGTGAACTAAGGCTCTTAAAAGTGCTTGGTAGATCAGAAGGCTTGAAAGTAGGTTAATGTTTTAGTCGAGGTGACCAGACACTGATACTGAAAACTAGTGTCACAGACCACAGATTATAAGATAATCACAGTTTCACAGTAGTGTTTTGCGATGGGGACCAGAATCCAGAATGCTGGAGCCCCGGAGATGGAGTGCTGCCCCTGGGCGGATCTACTAGAAAAACTTCCTGTGAAGGAAGCACTTTACATCTGTTGATCTTTTTATTTATTTATTTATTTAGCTTGTTGGGTCACACCCGGCGATGCTCAGGGATTACTCCTGGCTCTGCACTCAGGAATCATACCTGGCAGTGCTCTGGGGACCATATGGGATGCTGGGAATCGAACCTGGGTCGTTCGAGTGCAAGGCAAACATTCTCCATGCTGTACTATCACTCTGACCCTACATCTCTTTATCTTTATGTTGAACCAAATCTGTGTTTATGTTCAACCAAACCCATGTTAATCTCTGTCCCTTGCACCCTTACACCCTTATGCTTTTCCTATATAATCTCTGATTTCAATAAAAATGTTGCTGGCCACCAGCCTGTAACCCATTCTTTAGTCCATCAGCCTCAGTGTGTGTGGGGGGGTGAGAATGACATCACAGTCACAGAGGGATGATGACAGTTTGAACGAAAACATCCTTTTATATTTATGGAAAGGGAAGTTTCACATCTGGTTTTTAACAAATGCCCTCACTTGATTGGTAAGTATAAGGCACCTGAGAATTTTTTTTTGTTGAGGCTTTTAAAAAAGACAAAGGTTTGGTTTTGTTGGTTTTTTGGGCCACACCCTGTAGTGCTCAGGGTTTAACTCTCCTGAGTTCAGGGATCACTCCTAGTGGGATTGTGGGGGACTGAACCAGGTCAGCCCCTTATAAGGATAGTGCCCTGCCTGCTGGGCTGTCGCTGTGGCCCCAAAGGTTTGAGATTTTCTAACCACATTGACTTAATCCCCAAGAATTTGATCATGTTTTTATGTGAACAATGAAGAGGAGGGACCTGCTTCTCCACTCTTGAGTAGCCTGCTGCTACTTCCAATGGAAGTTGCTGCCATTGTTTGGGACAGTGGGTTTTGTTCTAAAGCATTGCCAATTCCAAAAGCTGTGGGCTTATTCCTGACTCTGCACTCAGGGATTGCTCCTGACAGACTCTGGGGCCCATCTGGGGTGCTAGGCATCAAACCTGACTTGGCCACATGCAAGGTTGATGCCCTGTTTGCTGTACTATCTCTCCAGTTTTTATACTTATATTCGGGTACTGTTGAAGTCCATCTTTAAAGAATAGATGAACCGTGTTGCCATATGAATAGACTATAATCAACATAACAGTTTTTATGAACATGAAGCTAGAACCGAAGCTCTTTTCACTTTTTTCTTTTCCTTCCTCTATGCCTTTCCCAAGACACTTTCTGTTGCTGTCCCATGGTGTGCATGTTCTAGGATTTTCTATCAATGAAATAAAATTGTAAATTCTCTTTTTGCACTTTTCACTTAATGATTTTGAGCGATAGCACAGCGGTAGGACGTTTGCCTTGCACGCAGCCAGCCCGGCCGCGCCGGGTTCGATTCCTCCGCCCCTCTTTGAGAGCTGGCAAGCTACCGAGAGTATCTTGCCCGCACGGCAAAGCCTGGCAAGCTACCTGTGATGTATTCGATATGCCAAACACAGTAACAAGTCTCATAATGGGCCCGCTCGAGCAAATCTATGAACAAAGGGAGGACAGTGACAGTGACAGATTTTGAATGAAAAAGATTGTTGCTGAATTAAACTATATTATGAATGTATAGTGGTTTTATTTAGTAATCTATCTTGATGGACTTTTGGGTTACCCCGTTTGGGGTTGTAAAGCAATAGTGGCGTGAGTTGCAGGAAATTGTTTCTTCTTTTTTCTTCTTTTGGTGGAACTGGGGATGGAACTCAGGGCATCACATGCAGAGTAAGTGCTCAAGTGCTGAGCTTCACGCTAGACAGTAAAGGTGTTATGAACATTCATAACATTCTCTTGCGTTGAAAATGTTTTTCTTTTTTATAAGAGTAAAATGGTATTGTTTAGGAAATCTGAAAGTGTAGCAAGGAGGGAGAGAACCCCTACAAAACAAATAAATAAAGCACTTCAAGTTAAGATGTATGGGTGAGCTAGGAATGCAATTCCCATTCTGTTTCTTTGGTTTTTTCTTTTTTGCGGGGGTGGGGGGTGGGCAGGAGGGGAAGGGGGCCGTCACAACCAGAGATGCACAGGGGTTACTCCTGGCGGACCATATGGGATGCTGGGAATTGAACCTGGGTCAGCTGCGTACAAGGCTGACCCTGCCCTCTGTGCTATGGCTTCAGCCCCTGTTCTGTTTCTCTTGATAAATACCTAAGGCAGCCTATTTACAGGGTTTATACTGGTTGTTTATTATGGTTTTCACCTGCATTTTCCTAGTGAATCATTGTAGACCATCTGTTCACGTGCTTATTGGCCATTTGGATACGAAAATAAATATGCCAAACACAGTAACAAGTGTCACAATGGAGACGGGGGAGCTTTGAGCCACTCCCAATGATGCTCAGGGATTATTTGGGTTGCAGGGGATGCACCCTGGGTTGGCTATGTGCAAGGCAAATGATTTTTGATACAAATGCCAAAGAGCTGAAGAGGAAGTCTCTTCAATAGCTTCACACACAGCTGAACATCTTATGATATTATAATGCAATGTTACATCAGATAAAAACAAGAATCTGGGACTGGAGAGAGAGTACACCCAGCGTGGCCCAAAAACAAAACCCCCAAAAGTTAGATTTTATTGGATTTTGCTTTCCTTTTTCTTGTTATAGTCTTCAAGAAATCT